AATAACATATTATTTCAATACGATAATTTGAATTATGAACATATAACTTTTCTTTATCTTTTTGAACAAAGATATTCTATAAACTTTAACAAAATCTACATTAAGCATACCCTCTCAATATGAAATAAAAGCCAGCAGATTAACTTATATTACTTCAAAAGTATCTACATAAATCTGGTCAAAAGATTTTAAGATAGCATATATAGTAATAGATTTGAACTACTGATATAACTCTATATAAAGACCTCATTATGCCACATTCTTGAGCACACATGCACTCCTCTGCACCAAATATTCTTTTTGGCGCATCTGTTCTTCAAATCATAGTTGTGACATCTCCCATTTGTATAACAGTTTGTTCTAACTCTTTGAGAATATTAGACTAATCTGAATTAGAATGAAGCTGCTATCAAAGAAAGTTAAGTGCAATGCGCACGGCCAAGATTCTTCGTACTTCCTAGGATGGCAGGAATACGAGAAGAACCCATATAACGAGGTTCGAAATCCTAGAGGAATTATTCAGATGGGTCTTGCGGAGAACCAGGTACCAATGCTGTTTTAAGAAAAAAAATATTATGTCTACGGAATTTAATTAATATCATACTCGTTTCTAACGACTGTCTTTTTATATTTAGCACATTAGTTTTTACATTTTCTAACATTTTCTACAGCTCTCTTTCGATCTACTCGAATCGTGGCTTGCTCAAAATCCAGATGCAGTTGGATTCAAGAAAAATGGAGAGTCCATATTGAAAGAGCTTGCTCTTCATCAAGATTATCGTGGCCTCCCAGCTTTTAAGAACGTAATAATTTCAATTAGCTCGTGTTTTTTAGTTAAAAATTAAATTTTTAGTAGTCTTCAATTAAAAGTAGATAAAATGTGTGGTTAAAAGGGCGATATATATTATGAATTATGGTTGAAAATGAATTTTAGAAAATTGGTGCAATATTATTTTTCTTTTTCCTTGGATGGATAGAAATATCAAGTTTACAATCTTAAATCTGTATTACCCAACATTAAAATCGACAGAAACCATTTTCACGTAAAAATAATAATATTATGATAGACTGGCATCACCAAAACATATCCGGATGAAGGCGTAAATGCATATACAAAAATATGTATAGTGTTTCCTGGAAAAAAAAATTTTAAAAAAAAAATAAAAAAATCTACCATCCAGAACTAGAGATGGCAATGGGCGAGCTGGGCGGCTTGGATACCAAGTGAACCTAGATCGGCTCACTTCGGGGAGACCGCGTGCTAGCTTGACTTTAGATTTTTGGGCTCAGCTGGCCCCATAGGCTTGCCTATTGGTGAAGATTGAGCTGCCCATGGGTGCAGACCAAGTCAATGAGCCAGAGTTGTGCCCATTGCCATCTCTATCCAGAACCCTAGGAGTTGGACGGGTTTTACTTGCAAAATTTCCAAATGAGTTCTACTTATATTTTTAATGGATTATTAAAAAATTTCTATAAAAATGTTTATACATTTAGTTCATTCATATTATGTAAATCAATGAGAATAATCAAGTACCTACATCACTAGCAGATCCAGGATGAATATTGAGTAAGGTCGATGAGATCAGCCGCCTAATGTAAGAGTTTTGTTTTTTAGACAGATCTAGCACGAGCAGCCCCGGGTGCTTGCCAGGTGTTGGATCCGTCAGAGACCTGCATATGCATCTAACTTTTCCTATTTGTAAATTCATGCAGGCATTGGCTGAATTTATGGAAGAAATCCGAGGAAACAAAGTTCGGCTCAAATCGGAAAATTTAGTACTCACTGCTGGCGCCACTTCAGCCAATGAAACTCTCATGTTTTGCCTTGCTGATCCTGGCAATGCTTTTCTTCTCCCCACTCCCTATTATCCTGGGTATGTATTCCTTAAACTTCCTCGTCTAATACTTGAAGTTGTTATAAGACGACACACTTATTCTTTTACATTATAGCTTCAACAAGTCCATTTTTCCAACTAATGCCCGACACACGTACGACTTTCATAAATGCAGGTTCGACAGAGACCTTAGGTGGCGAACTGAAATTCAAATTGTACCAATACAGTGTAATAGCTCGAATGGCTTTAGAATTACCGGATCTGCTCTAGAAGAAGCTTATAAAGAAGCCGAAAGAAGAAATCTTAAAGTTAAGGGCGTATTAGTAACTAATCCTTCAAATCCACTTGGCATAACATTGAGCCTGCACGAGCTTAATCTCCTAGTAAACTTCATTGAAGCTAAAGGAATCCATTTGATAAGTGATGAAATCTACTCGGGCCTGGTTTTTAACTCGCCAGACTTTGTGAGCGTAATGGAGGTTCTAATGAACAAAAACTACATGAATACACAAATTTGGAACCAAATTCATATAGTATATAGTCTCTCCAAAGATTTAGGTATTCCAGGATTTCGAGTTGGAGCAATTTACTCTAACGATAAAGAAGTCGTATCTGCAGCAACAAAAATGTCAAGTTTTGGACTGGTTTCTTCTCAAACTCAGTATCTTCTTTCAGCCATGCTTTCAGACAAAAAATTTACGAAAACTTATGTTTCAGAAAATCGAAAACGACTTAAGCATAGACAGGAAATGCTGATTCGAGGTCTTAGAAATGCTGGTATTCGGTGTCTAGAAAGCAATGCTGGTTTATTCTGTTGGGTGGACATGAGGCACCTTTTGAGTTCCAATACTTTTGAAGCAGAAATGGAGATTTGGAAGAAAATTATTTATGAAGTTGGGTTAAATATATCTCCTGGATCTTCCTGCCATTGCGCCGAGCCTGGATGGTTTCGTGTTTGCTTCGCCAACATGTCAGAAGAAACCCTAAACTGCGCAATGCAACGAATAAAAGTCTTTGTCAATTCTGAATGCAAGACTAATGTTAATGGCAGCAATAGAAATCAATTCTGGAATAAGAATTCGCGAAGAAAGTCACTTGCCAACTGGGTTTTCGGGCAATCGTTTCATGACTACAAATATGAACGATAGACCAGTATTCCAGTATGCGTGCACACTTCCAATGACTACAAATATGAACGATAGCCCAGTATTCCAGTATGCGCGAACACTTCCATTTGAAAATTTATTTTTCTCAATAGTATAACGCTGAGTTCAATTTTTCGATATGATTTTCCTGTAGAGATTGCACTCTGTCCTTGTGGGTGAGAAGTGAAATTCGCTTCAATTTGTAAACCAAATTTTTATGTGTGTTGATGAAATCTTCCTGAAATTTTTACAAAATGGCTTATGATCAAGATATTCTTTGCAGATTAGTCTCATGTAATTTTCCAACATATATTGGAAGTATTGATTTAAATATGCATAGTTCCAAATTAAAGAAGTTTGAATATCCAAGAGTCGAATACTTCCTGCTTAGATAGAATCTATGACTCAAGATATATCTTCGACAATTTTCATAAATTGGGACGATTCTAAGCGCTCGTTTGAGCCACATTATTGTAAAAATAAAAATGAAAAATATAGTCGTTATGAAATTTACACAAGAGATAAAAAGTTAAATATGGTGGCTTGATATAATGGATAAAATTCATATTTTTTATTTTAAGTGGAAATTATATTGGATGTCAAAATTTGGGTTTGCATTTACAAAAATGTCACTTTTTTAAAGCCTTTGCAAACTTGTCAATTTATGACATTTTTGTCCTTCTAAATAATTTAAATATCCTACATATCCTTCATCTAATTGTACCAAAAAAAACTGGGAACTTGTCGCATCAAAACAGAGGAAAGTGAACTTTGAAATATGTATAATTATATCCTTGGGTAATTGGCACAAAACGTCCTTGCCTTTTAAGTCTATTGTGGAAAACGTCCCTACCTCTCATTTTTTGACATTTTTGCCCTCATTTCAACCTTTCTTTGCGCTGGACGTCCTTCCGTCCATATTCCGTTAGTTTTTCCGTTAATTAAAGAGTAATTGGCACAAAACGTCCCTACCTTTTAAGTCTATTGTGGAAAACGTCCATACCTTTCATTTTTTGGCATTTTTGCCCTTATTTCAACCTTTCTTTGCGCTGGACGTCCTTCCGTCCATATTCCGTCAGTTTTTCCGTTAATTAAATACAAAAATATCTTTTTCTTTCCATAAACAAGGATAAAATTGTCCTCATCCACTTCACCCCTTTTTCCCGCCATCAACTTAGTCCATAAGTAACAGTAGCAGCGACATGAATCTGAAAATACTTTAAATGATTAAGTTAAATAAAGAAAAAATATCGTGAACACATTATATTTCACAATTCCACAACTACTGTTGCTGTCATCTTGTGTCACTGGAAAATTTTAGAAAGACATATTAAATGGGTAGTCAATTTATAATGAGCCAAAATGGTGAATGGCTCTTTTTGGCTCAATGGAGAAGATGAATGGCTCATTTTAAATTGACTCGTTATAAATTGACTACCCATTTAATATGTCTTTCTAAATTTTTCCAGTGACACAAAATGACAGCAACAGTAGTTGTGGAATTGTGAAATATAATGTGTTCCCGATATTTTTTCTTTATTTAACTTAATCATTTAAAGTATTTTCAGATTCACATCGCTGCTACTGTTACTTATGGACTAAGTTGATGGCGGGAAAAAGGGGTGAAATGGGTGAGGACAATTTTACCCTTGTTTTTGGAACGAAAAAGGTATTTTTGTATTTAATTAACGGAAAAACTGACGGAATATGGACGGAAGGACGTCCAGCGCAAAGAAAGGTTGAAATGAGGGCAAAAATGCCAAAAAATGAAAGGTAGGGACGTTTTCCACAATAGACTTGAAAGGTAGGGACGTTTTGTGCCAATTACCCGAATGTTTAACGGAAAAACTGACGGAATATGGACGGAAGGACGTCCAGCGCAAAGAAAGGTTGAAATGAGGGCAAAAATGTCAAAAAATGAAAGGTAGGAACGTTTTCCACAATAAACTTGAAAGGTAGGGACGTTTTGTGCCAATTACCCTTATATCCTTTATGTTTAAACCCTAATTTGTCAATTTTTTTCTCTCCTCGTTCCTCCCATTCCCACGCTTAACCAGTTGGGAACTTTGCTAATCTTCTCACCAACTGCAGGTATGCACATATTCTTTGACCCGTTCTTTTACGTATTCTTGAAATTCTTCCCTCGAATTTTCCTTTTGTGTTTTTTTAATTGGTCTTTTCCGTGTCAATTGCTTCTTTTGCTTCATGTAATTGTCTCCTTTGTATGGTTAGAGTAATAAATCATAATTAAGTTTTGTGATTAAAACAAAAGATCTTGCCCATTATTATAGACGCAGTCACTTCGTGAGATAAAAATAATTATCCGAATTGCTGTTGGGTATTTTTTTGCTTATCCTTTTTTCTTATTTGTTTTGTCAATTCGTCCTGTACATAATTTTCAGCTCTTATGTTATTTTCTGGGAAATTTTTTTATTATTGCTATTTTGCGATGATTCTCAGAAGGAAAGGCTTTTTAACGACATTATACAATTACATCATAGTTGGTTCCAATTATAACTTGTAAGTACCTTTCTTCACTGTCGTCGCTGTAAGCGTCTCTCTCTCCCTCTCTCTCTCTCTTTTTTTTTTTTTTTTTTTTTGTTTTCTAGTTCCATTTTTTTTTTTAACATTAGGGAATAATTTATGATTTGTTATACAGGGTGATTAATTAAATTTTGAAATATTTTGTTTTAAAATTCTAGTTTAGTACTGTGTGTAATTTTTAGAATTCAGTTATTGCTGGGTTTTTAATTTTCTGTGGAAGTGGAAATGGAAATGAATTCTAAAGAGTCTGCCTTAATAAGTACATTGAGCACCTTTATTTACAAGTCGATTTTAAGGAATGAGTTTTTTGTGATGTAATTTCTTATCTATGATGTAATAAAAAGTTGGAAAATTTTGCTCTCGAGTTTTTTGTACTATCAGATTCTTTCTTTCTCCTAATGATACTAAATCTCTGTTTGATTTAACTAAAAATGTAAGTCTAATTTAACAAATAATTTTCACTATACATTTTAATTAAATACAAAAAATTCATCAAATTTTCAACCAAATGAGTGATATGTTCTGTCCAAATCATCAAAACACTTTCCGGACTGATTTATTGTATGAATAACAGCAATTCAGCAAACCTGCTTAAAGCATACACTAAACTCAAGCATGCATCCGCTGTTTCTCTATCAGCGTCATTCTTCTCTATTATCTTTTTCCAGATTACTTAATTTATAGTCTAAACCAACTCCATATTTTCAGGCCTCAAGCCAACGCCTCCATTCGTATTTCATTTTGGCTGGAAATGTGTTTAACAATGGCCTACAACAATTTATGTAGTAAGTCTTTAAATCGATTGCAAAATACTTGTACAATAAAATCCCCACAGTGAGAAGTGTTGAAGGTTGCATGCTCTTCATCGAAAGAATAGATTAGACATGAGAGGTGAAATTTTATTACCTTATTGCAGGGTCGAAGAAGGTGGAAAGCAAAGTATAATACCCAACATGAAAAAATGTCCCGACCATTCGAGAAGCACGGGAATGCCTACCTGCAAAGCAAAACCAAAGTACAACTCCTCTTTAACTGTAATAATAATGGGTGTTGAACATCTTGCTGTGACTACCGGATGATGTTAGATAATGACGAAATGTTCAATAGCGATAAAATTGAATAGTATTAAGAATGAAAAAGAGTTAAACTCTTGTTTACTATATTGTGTAATTTTGTCGAATTCAAAAGAATGAGAAATTAGTGATGGGTCTGTTGTTTGTGTACGAAATTAAGGTTTATGTTTTGCTAAAAATATATCATGTAAAATCTGTACTTGTCAAATTTTTGCCTTGACTTTGTAAATATAGTTATGTCAGAGGTTGAGGAATTTTTGTTGTTGGAATTGCTTGTTATGAAAAAAGCTTGAAGGATTATTATTATTATGAAAAATGATTAACTAATGAATAAATATTATTTATAGGCTATTTTTATAGCTAGAGGTTTTATACAATGACTAGGAGAAGCCTAGGCTGCCTAGCTAAAATCTAAAAATTTGATCGTCTAAAGTTTTAAACTGTGCCCGCACTAAATAATTTTCCTGGCTTCGCCCCTATCCATGTCACTCTTTTTAGGTAATTTTCCTTTCCTTTCCCTTGTCCCTTGTCCCTTGTCCCTTTCATCTATCATTGTTTTTGTTTTCTTCCCCACAATTTTCTTTCTTTCCCAGGTTTGGTTTCTTCTTCTCCATTAGCTTTTCTTAATTTCTACTTTGCTTTGTTCCACAAAAAAAATACAGTCCTACCGTCGTCAATCAACTGTAACGAACAAGAAAATATGGTTTATTGATCTGTTTTTTTGGGTTATGATTGATTTTTAGGGAAACAGGAGTTACTGCACAATCTTTTTTTGTAGTTTAGCATTTGTATTGTATTGTATTTTTTTATGATGAGTGGCGACTTGCCTGTTCGTTGCATTTAATTGAAATTTGTAAAGTTATTAATACATTATGCCTTAAAATCTCTTTGGGGTTTATATTAACATGCTGAACAAATACTTTATTTACACTTGACAATAAAAATTATTTCACTCAGCTTTTGAGTCAACACTCATTCATTGTCATCTAAGGTTGTTGCTATGATATGCTATCTCAATGCTTTCCTTGTAGTTTTTTAAGTCAAAACCTGAAGACGTGGAATTTTATTTTTCTGCAATCAATGTTAGTGAAGTTGAAGCATTATTTGAGCTATTTAAGAGCATTAGCAGTTCTGTAATTGATGATGGGTTAATAAATAAGGTAATTTGTTTCAAAATTTATCAAATCTTCCTTTGTACTTTAAATATATCATGATTACACACATCCTCTATTTTTTCACATAAATTATCTCGCTTACGAATTCTGGTTATCTGTGGTCATAGAAATACATAATTGATTCGTTTCTTTAGTAACTTGTTTTTAAGACCCGCTTTAAAAAATCTTAATTGCATAACTCTTCTGCAGGCTGCAGCCTATTGCTTGGATGTGTTTTGGCTTTGGAAACTTAGATATATTGTCTTTATATTTTAGACTTCCAAAGAAATTTCTTGTTCAGAAACAGTATTATCTGAAATCAAAATTTATGCATTAACAATAAAGCACTAGTATCAAACTCTAAAGTTAACATAAAGAGAAATATGTTTCAAGGGAAAGTTTTGACATTAATTAATTGTACTATTCTAGTCACTTGTCTATCTGCTTCATGTCCTATTTAACTGTTGGAGTCAATTGAAAATGTGAATTGTGGTACATAATTGGAACTCTAATGAATGTTACACAAACACATTGACCCTTGACCTTAAAAAAAAAAAAAAAAAAAAGTTACACAAACACATTGATCCTTGCACTGAAATTGGAATGTTATAGTTTTTTATAACGAATTTCACCTACATGTTTTTCTTTTGTATAATACCTATGTAGGAAGGAAAAAAAACTAGATTTTTCGACAGTTCATATGTCGACGATTGTTGCTGATCTATCTTTTTCGATAGTTAGCCTTAGTAATTCTCGAGAGATGAACTTGTCCACGGATAAAATGTCGAGAATGACAGCTTAGTCATTGCCTCAGCTCAGTGTATTTTATATTAATTTCGATCTTACATAAGTAAATTGCAAATGCGACTTGAAGTAATATGGGTGATACTCGTTCTATGCATTTGGTGGAAATTTTTATCGACACTTGACATATATTTCGTTTCAATATTTATGTTACGTGTGTCATAACCTTACTTTCACTTGCTTTCATTCGTGCCATCCGTTTACTTTGCAACTTTCCTAGTTCCCACCACTGTAGTCCGAGCAGGAGGTTGAGTTACTACAAAGAGACGACGATCGGCACGATTGCGACGTCCGACACCTGCTACCAGGACTCTGTATACGAGGGGGAGGGCGAAGAGAACAAATAATTAAATGTGAAAGAATTGCCGACTGTAGCATTCGGATTAATGGTTGAACTTGCGTTTGCATTTTTTTGCTTTGGTTTAGGAGGTGAAAGATGTTTGTTAATTGCCTGGACACTTGTAGTTTTTACCTCCTTTTTTTCGTAAATTACATTTGAATGTTTATTGGCGAGCGTGGTGACACTTTGACGCATTCCTCGCATTTTGCAATGACCATGGTGAATGCCGTGTCACTGTTTACTTTTGCTGACACTGCTGTATTATTAGAAACCACATAAGTTATCCGGCTTTAGTCTATTATGTGAATCGTAAATACCGTAGTTCATGTCTTGTTTCATTTTCTGTCCAGCCTCGTACATTACATTGATTATAAAATTTCCTTTTGATTTTCAATCTGCAAAGAAGTTGAAGAAAAGTTTAAACCTATATGTATGTATAGGTTTTACGAATATCCATTTAGGAGTACATGGTGAGATTGAATATGATAGTGCCTTCATAAACTATAGATTGGGTTAAGATGAGGACCCATTAAAAGTGTCAAAGTCATGCAATCATGGTACACAACTAATTCACAAGTGAGTTTATGTCTATTTCCTTGTCACTGGTATTTTTTTATGTAGGTTAAGATGATGAATATGTTTTGTGAGAAACTGTAGCATTACAACAATGGTATAACTAACAAGCTAGCAAATGAGAAGTAATTAGTTGCGGAAACCAGATGAAATGAATTGTACACATAATTTAAGATTTAAGTCACTAGCAATGTCCTAGTAATTATGGTACAATGGGGGATAAAGGTACACTTACTATATTGAATCACCACACCAATTGCTTTTCAGATTTACTTGGAGATTGGACTTGGTGATTGGGTAGATACTGAAGTAACTGCTTCCTCTCCTTAGGATGGTTATAAATACCATAATATCATTGTTATTTACAAGCAATTTTTCAGCCAAGGTATTATGACACTTTCAACTTACCTGCACAGCATTGTGACACTTTCAACTTACATGAAGAGCATTGTGGTATACATTTTCCTTATGTTTGTTTTTCTTCATTTATTCTGTAGTTTAACAAATTCGAAGTTACATGATCTTTAATGATGTGCACGTTTTCGTCAACTGTCGAGAATGAAAAAAAAAATCTGTTGGGACCGACAGTTCAATTGTTTGGGATGTTGTGCAATTGAAAAATGGAAATTGGTGCATTTTATAACTTTATCACTTTCGAAAAATGAGGAAATCATTTCAAGTTTTATAAGTTTCTCGCTTTTGGAAAAATGGAAATTATAAGTTTAACCAATACAAGTGTCTTAGTTTAACATCTTAGTGTAGATATTATAAGTTTCTCATTTTTTCCAAGTTACAAGTCCTTGCAATGGAAGTAAACTTAGTTATTCAAGGCATCACAAGCGTTGTCTATCAAATTGCATTTGAGATGTGATGAAAATAAGTTGGTAAATGAATACTAATTGGCCTTTAGTGTGCAAGTTTCTCTGCCTAATTATAAATTCCAGTGTAGGACTTCATGTTCATAAACCACCCCTTAAAAGACTTCAAAAAGTTGTTATGAGCTCCCTTTTTGAAAGAGATAGTTGATACGAGATAATGGGTTCATCCATCTCCAGTAACGAACAATTCAACCCCAATATGCATCCGTTGATACTGGGTTCGTCCCCTGAATTTTTCATCGTTTTATTCTCAGACAACGAGGAGGTAAGAGTTGAGCACCATGGTGTCGAGTTCGAAGAGGTGTCAAGTGCAAAATCTAAGTCATCAAAATGTGTGCTCGATCAAGTCTTCAAGGTTAGAGGTCCGATCAAATCACCGTCCCACTCGAACGAGTGGCTGGCTCACATTTTACCTCAAGAAGTAATTGTCATTAGCTCAAACGAGTCTGATGGAGAAAGTGGGGGAGAAGTTTAATTTGTCGAAAGCAATGCAAGTGTGCAATAAATGGCCCTTTTGTAGGAAATTATGTATATTATTTTGTGGAAAGGATGATTTTGGTCACGTCCTTTGCGTACATGCAGAAACAGCATGTTCATAATAGGTAACCGCAGTAGTATATTTTTTGAAGCCGTTATTAATCTCGACTGTCGAGAATTACAGAGATCATTTGTCGAGAACGACATGTGAACTGTTGGGACATGATGTTGATGTTTTGGTTGTGAACTGTCTCTTGATGAAAATCAATTTTACGTTTCGATAGACTGTCAGTCGAAGCTAATAGAACTTATATGATCGGCTAAGTTTATAATAAAAAAACGTATTCATCTCGTTTGTGGTAATGGAACCGATATGATCGGTACTTCGCTTGCGAAACATAACGATCAAATTTTTGTTTGCATACGATAATAACAAAAAATTCATAAAATAAGTTGGAAATGTACACTGCTTATTTAAATTACATTTTTGGGGATTACATTTGACAACCACTATTACACATCGTGCTTGTTCACGTCGCTTGTGATACAATGGGGTTCGAACATCTGGTTCAACTATGACCAACTCTCCCACATCAAGTGCATTTCTTAAGTCGAGTAGTGGACTCGTATCGGGCTCCCTTACGTCGCGTGGGTGGTCTACCTGAAGACGGCTTACAACCTGTGGCAAAATAAGAATACCCAGGATTTCGTTCGGAACAACCCAGTCCACTTCCTGCATAACGGAAGATATTGCTTCCATATAGGCACCCTTCCAGTATTTTGATGTATAGTACGAAGAGCATAGATCGTACAATGACTTACGTCTTAGGGTAGCAGGACGAGTTGTATGAGCATATGTCATACGATTTAGTTGGAACTCACGACAGGTGCACATGTTGTCGGAGAAGTCCACTATAT